TCGTCAAAGCCGGGCGGTTTTCACCCAGGGCGAGGATTCTCCTCCCTTTTTCCTTTCAAACCCGACTAAACTCGTCGGGGTTATAATTTTACAAGTTCCACACTCCTATTGTTTACGAAAATTAATACGTGAGTTTAAGGAATTACCCGCAACGGAGTCCGGGTTGGCACGTGCATCCGCCTCCGTCATAGCATAAACTCTAGCTTGAGTTCTTCCTTGATTCACGGACGGCGCATTGCTCGTGCTCGCTCCCCTGGCCCACGCTAACATGAGATGCTCCGGCCCGGTTCCTACTTGCCGTGGTAGCGCCGCTTGGTCCTGACCCCCAGTTCCCACCAAGTTGAGGGCAGTTTGGCTTAATATGCCCTGTACTCCCGCATTGGTAGCAAAGTGGTGGATCACGACACTTAACGGTGTGGTTCCTGTTGCAATTCCTGCACCTGGGCGTCATTGGGGCTTGTGAGCCCGAGTAGTGCCCGCTCGTGGCCGGGTTTCCCTTGGATGGTGCTGCCGGTGCCCTGAACGATCCACCTCCCTCGTGGTTCCCCTTCTTATTGGGACCTTGGGGGCCATGGCTTTCCCACTTTCTTTTCTTGGCCTCTTCGGCATCTCTCTTTTTCCTCTCCTTCCATTGCTTTTCTCCCTTCAACCCTTGGGCAACCACTTGGCTGAAAGTCATATTGGGCAATTGAGTTGCCCTGTCACGTATCTCCAAGTCCAAGGCCTCCCAAAAATGATTCACCATTCGATTTTCATCACAAGCATACTCCGGTATGTGATCAGCAACGTCTCTGAACTTGTTCTCAAGTTCTTTCACCGTCATGTTACCACCTTGGGTTAGGAGAGTGTATTCCCTCACCTTGGCGTTTACTTCGAAGTCAGAGTAGTACTGGGCAAAGAATTCTTGTCGGAAATCCTCCCATGTAACAGTGCCGCCATACTTACCCTTCGTTCCATCCCACCATTTGGATGCCAACCCTTCGAGTAACCTTACCGCGATTCTCAGTTTAAAATCGGGGGTGAGCTGCATGTCAAGGGCTGCCTCGTTCAGCCTCTTGATCCACTGGGCGGCAACCGAGATGTCTCTCGTCCCATCGAACGGTTTGCACCCTAAGTCCCTCGCCTCCTTGATGTATTTGGAGATCCTTATGGCTGGACCTCCATCGCCCCGACTCCCATGTGCTTCCACATGGGTTCTCGAATCGCAAAAGCTCCTCCCTCTTGGAGCCCCGCCCGAAGGTTGCCCTGCACGGTGCCTTCGGCGTGCCCTCCTTTCTTCGCGCTCCTGATGATACTGTTGGAGCAGCGCTTCGATTCTGGCCAAGGAGGCACTTTCCTCCTCATCACTCACATCATCGTCATTCTCTTCGTAAGGGGTCTCAACTGGCTCAGTCCCCGGCTGGTAAGTTGAGTCCTCATAGGACCAATAGGTCTCACTCTCGGTATCAACGTGGCCATCGCTCACGGTTTGACGTTGGCCTCCACGGCCCCTTCCTCTTGATCCCCTAGAAGACCCCCGGCTACCGCGCTCGGACCCACCCGGTGCACGGCCCAACGGGTTCCTCCTAGTGATCCTTCCAATTGGTTCCATTTCTGAAAGAAATTAGAATGAGTCGTTAGACTCGTATCGAGTGTCAAATGACGGACGGGTACTTAAAGACATCCTTCGGCTCAAATCACCGCCATACCAATTGTTAAGGGTACCATCTTAACAATTAGAGGCATTGCAACTCAAGTACCAAAAGTTCTATAAGTACAAAACTTATGCTCATGGTTTTTCAAATTCATTCTCAAAAAGAAATTTTGAAGCTTCATTATGATGTTTACGGACTAAGGCTCTGATACCATTTAAATTGTCACGCCCCGGACACGTCAACAACCCGCCGTACAGTACGAATAGTCAACCGCAGTCCGACTCATCCATACTATACAAGGCGTCTTGAATACCATTCACACATAGTACATCCATAAACAAACATAATGTGAAACATTTATTAAAACAGCGGAAACAATTGATACAAGTGTTCAAGCCACACTTGGCATAATTAGGCATGCAAGCCCCCAAAGTAATTATTCAGAAAATATTGTCCATGAGCATTATTCATATTGTTTTCAAAACAAGAACGGGAGGAGCACGAACCAAGTCTTCACCTCAGAAACTTCCCGAAGCAGCGGCTGGTAGTAGCAACCTTCAAGTTCTACCTGAAACTGTGAGGTGGCCTCCCCCGTGAAGGGGAGGTCAGTACTTGGAAGCATTTGACAAGTACAATGACAACTATACTAAGTATAATCAAAGTTTAAATTTCTGAGGCTCTCGATCTAGAGCATTATTACATTATAGTTAATCCGTTCATTTAGTATCAATTCATCATTTATTTACCACGGTCTAGAGCCCAGCTCATAATCACCGTTACCTACTACGGTCTAGAGCCCCGCTCATAATCACCGTCATCTACTACGGCCTAGAGCCCAGCTCATAATCACCGTCATCTACTACGGTCTAGAGCCCAGCTCATAATCACCGTCATCTTCTACGGTCTAGAGCCCAGCTCATAATCACCGTCATCTACTACGGTCTAGAGCCCAGCTCATAATCACCGTCATCTACATCGGTCTTGAGTCCGGCTCATAATCACCGATTCCTTATAATTCAAATTCTTAGGATCTAATTCATCTACTTCTCAACTAACATTTCCAACTAATATTTCAATGCTAGTTATTTATTTATTTCAATATAATTCCTTCTTCTTGCATAATTGGCCTTAATATCAAGTATCACTTTCATACCTTCATGGCTTCTCCTCATGGCATCAAAGTATACTATCCCAAATGATATTCATGGTTGGTACAACCATCATACATACATATTCATAACATTTAAACATACACAATTTATTCATAAATTTGTGTATCATGCATACTATACTTTTAATCAATAGTAGTTCTATTTAGGCATTATTAACCATTAACAACTCATGCACATCACATTTGTATTCACTTAGGAAAATCCCATGAAATTAACCCAAAGATTATAAGTAACATAGTCGGTCATCTTCACCTTAATTAAGCTTAAGCGCGTTCTACGTTTCTCGATTGGACTTTGACCAACTCCGGCGAACTTTGACCAACTCCGGCGAACTTTGACCAACTCCGGCGAACTTTGACCAACTCCGACGAAACTCCGGCGAGGCTCAAAAATACTTTAAATCAAGTTCCTAACAAGGTTTTATCATCACAAAACCCATATCAACACAAATAACCTATAAAAGGTTATTTTCCGGCAAACCGGTCGATTTGGCTTCTAAGTCCGCTTTTGGACTTAGAATCACTTTCCAACCCATCATTCCACACTTAAATCATGTAGAACAATACTAAAGGTCTTTCATATGATATATATCTTATATGCTAGAAGAAAAACAAAGGAAAAGTTATGATAAGGTCATTACCTTAATTTTCACACTTTTTCCTAGCTTTTTCCTTCTTAAACTTCCTTCTTGGACTCCCTTGAGCTTGAGTTCGGATTTGGGCTATGGAGATGAGAAGTTTCAGAGCCTCTCCTTGCTAACCTAGGGTGCTGAATTGTGTGGGTGGAGATGGTGAGGTGAGAGGGGTGGTTTTTGTCTCATTTAGACAAATGAGTGAAGGGAGGGGGTCTACTACATGTCAAAGGTGTCTCCCCCATCCTCTCAATTGTTGTTCAGCCAATTTGGCACTCATCCATCCCTCAAGGGTTGACAATTTCGTGGGGTGGCCCCCACCCATGTGGGAGGTCATCCTAATTTGTCCCAAAGTGTGCAATTTGCCCCGAAAGTTGTATTTTCCGGAATGTTTTTAAGTATATTTTATTTTATCGGGTCAAATAAAATATAACACTTGTTCCCAAATTCTTAATGGACCTTAGAATCAATATGCATCCCTCAACTTTAATTTAGAAGTCTCCGAAATCCCTTTTCGGGCTGTTATCTGATAGATTGCCGATACTGATAATTTGGCCCCGTTTGACCAACCGGTCAACCCTATGCCATTGTCATGGCTCAACTAGGATATCCACCACCATATACACATTATCTAGTCCAAGATCAATATAATATGTGGCCCCGATAATATCGGGCGGTCCCCACTCCCGATGTGGGTCCCACGTGCAATTTACTATTCACGCGAAAAAATATAATACAAATTCACAACTTCGTAAATTCACTAAAAACTTCATAAGGTTCAATAAATTATTCGCTTAAAGGTAAATACATTTGGGGACGGTGTTACACAGTCACCCGAGGGCTCCTACTTCACACATACTACACTTAGAAAAATTTTATAAGTCCTACATATTTTGACCCTCGGTCAAATCTCCATGCTGCCCGAGGGGCCATACGGTTGAAGACTTGGTGAAGCTATACTTAGAAATATTTTCTAAGCCCTACATACTTTGACCCTCGGTCAAATCTCCATGCTGCCCGCAGGCTCCTACTTCATACATGCTACACTTAGAAAAATTTCTAAGTCCCAAAAGTTCTTACCCTCGGTCAAATCTCCCTGCAGCCCGAGGGGTCATACGATTGAAGGCTTGGTGAGACTACACTCAGAAATATTTTCTAAGTCCTAACTATTGTTGGGCCCTCGGTCATACATCCAGCGAAAGGTACCCAAATACCGAAGGCTAGACTGCATTCAAACACTTAGAAAAATTCTTCCAAGTCCTAAAACAGCTCGCCTCCGGTTATCTCATGAAAGCTACACAGAACCAGGGGGAAGGAATTAGTCGGGGGCCAACAGATGAACAAACACTTAGAAATATTTCTAAGTCCTGAACATTGCGCCCTCGGTGAAAGGTTCAACTGACTAAAGATTACTAGCAGCCGAGGGCTACGAGAGGCACTACATTTGGAAGAATATATTCTAAGTCCTAAACATACATTCAGAAAAGCGAAGGCATACATTCAAAGAAGGGCGAAGGCATACATTCAAAAAAAAACGGGAGCATACACTCAAAGAAAAACGGTCAAGGGAAACACATTATATACCAAAAGCCCGAAGGCATGTACTCATTCATCAAAGAAAAGAAATTCAAATGTACATTACAGAGGGCCGAAGGCCGAGGGCATACAAGCATTCATTACAACGGGATTGTTCAAAACATGTTGAATTAAGAAATTACAAATTAACATCCCCGGGGGCCGTCTCCTCCGAAGGCTTTGAAGTAACCTCCGTGCCAACCTCAGCTTCATCGCCCTCGGCCTCTTTCAGGAGCTCAGAATCCTCCAATTCTGGCCTCTCGACGCCCTCGGGAAGGGGGGCTCTGATATCAGGCTGGAGGGGGGGAGGCCATATGCCGCCGGATCGAAGGCCGTTGGCTCGATTTTCAAATGCCGTGCGAGCCTCCTGTAGATCAAGGTCTGGGTGAAGAACTCCCCCCCCCCCCCCCCCCCGGCATAGTAATCTTCACCCTTTCGGGCTAGCCACATCGCCCCGGGGGCCTTCACCCACCCGTCGGCGGATCCCTCCACGACCGAGGCCACCCAGTCTTTATGGCCTTCGGCCTTCCAGCCCTCGGTCATGAAGGCAGCGACTGCACCGGCGGCGGCCTCTGTTTTGGCGGCCTCGGCATCTTCGGAGGCCTTCTTTGCAGCCTCGGCAGCAGCTTTCTCCACCTCCGCCTTCTCCTTGGCCGCCTTTTCAGCTTCCGCCCTCGCCTGCTGGAGGTCCCTCTCCAGCTGAGCCATCTGCCTCATGGCCTCGGCGTTGTCATGAACGAGCTTCTTGAGGGACTCATCCTGCTGCGCTTTCTGAAGGCGCCACTCATCGAACCTCCTGGCATGCTCGCCGAGGGCTATGCAGACCTGTTAGAACAAACAACAAAGTAAGGGGTTAAGCTACGATCACGCAACAGATAGAATCGTAAACCACTATGCAAAAAGGAGAAGAAGAAAAGAAGGGGAAGAACTTACAGTAAGAGAGGACCGGAGGATTTTTGACTCGAGGGCTTCATCGTCGAGCTTCCCGAGGGCCCTCCTATCCAGAGCGGGGGTAGCCCCGCCCAAAAATTCCCGGGTGTCTACTATGCCATGCGTAATGGCTGCCCCCTTCGGCAGGGAGAACTGTATGTCCTCCCGGGGCAAGCTTGCCTCACCACCTTGACCCGAGGGCGGGTGAGGAGCAGTTGTTGTCATTGGAGCACTGGGCTCGGAGGCGGAGTGCTCGTCCACCACCACCACCAGGGGAGCCTTCTTCCTGACATCCCCCTTCTTCTGCTTCTTCCCCTCGGGGATTGGCGCCTTGCAGGCGGCTTTCCGCTTTGCGGCCTCCCCTGAGAGCTCACTGCCCTTCTTCAACTCCTCGAGGGGCTTCTGCTTGGGGGGCTCCTTCTGGCCCGGGTCCTTGAACTTTTGTTTTTTGAGGTTGGCGAAGGCATTGAGATCCATGTTGATACCTGAAAAAAATAACGGTTAAAGCCGAAGGAGAAAAGATACAGCAAAAAGCATATCTACACCTAAATATACGTAAGTCTAAAGGACCGGATGCTCTCAGCCACTACCTCCGGAGGCTCTCTCAAATGTCGGGAACCTTTCATCTGTTTCCCCCAGGAAGCTATACCGCCGGAACCCGAGGGTGTAGAGGTCCTCCTCTTGGGTGCACTCCTTGATGGTTATGTTTTTGTCTCGGCCCTCCGGGATCTTGGCCAGGATCCTGCCGTCTTTCTCGAGGGCGGCGCTCCTCCTCTTCTCATGCCTCCTAAACCGGTCACGCAATTCCCTCGGGAAGGGGCTCTCGGCCAGCTTCACGTAGCACCACCGGTCTTTCCACCCTTTGTTCGAGGAGGGTGCCTCAGTGAAAAGCTTGAACAGGGCCACCTGCTGCAAGTTTGCGAAGCCCTCGGCATTCGCATGTCCCCCCCCCCCCCCGGCACAGGTTGAAACTTTGGAAAAAGAGATCCAGGCTAGGTGTTACCCCCCGGGATTTGCAGAGCTGGAGGAAGCCCGTGATGTAGGAGTGGTTGTTCGGGGTCAGTTGGCAGGGGACCAAACCCACGAACCGGAGGTACTCCCGGAGGAAGGGGTGTAGGGGGAACCGGAGCCCCATCGACACGGAGAGGATGTGCACCGCAATACAGCCCTCGGGAGCCCGGGAGAGGACGTCATCGGGACCCGGTGCCACCACGATGGCCGAGGGGCCCACGTGTAATTGAGTGACGTAGAGATCCGCCGCATCAGCTCTCGACCTTATCTCGAAGGCGGCGGTATTCAAATAGGAATACCCCTCGGGCATGTCGAGGGGCTTCTGTAATACCCGAGATTAATTTAAGAGGATTAATAGTACTACTCATACCAACAGAGGTGCATCTCCTTTTAAGGGAGTTCATCACCCAAGAACTCCAAAGTTAAGCGTGCTTGCACGAGAGTAGTCTTGGGATGGGTGACCCCCTGGGAAGTTTCTCAGGGCGCGCATGAGTGAGGACAAAGTGCGCGGTAAAGGCTCGTGGTGGTTTGTGAGGACAGTACTAGAGGCCCGAAGTAACTACCTCGGGGCCTACGGGGCCGAGGTGTTACAAATGGTATCAGAGCAACCCTGCGACAGTGTGTTGACCCGTTAGATATCGGGCAGACACTTAGCGGGGCAAGATTCTGGGGTTTGATTGAGAGTGTTAAGGGCGCAACGAGGACGTTGCGATCCTAAGTGGGGGTGATTGTAATACCCGAGATTAATTTAAGAGGATTAATAGTACTACTCATACCAACAGAGGTGCGTCTCCTTTTAAGGGAGCTCATCACCCAAGAACTCCAAAGTTAAGCGTGCTTGCACGAGAGTAGTCTTGGGATGGGTGACCCCCTGGGAAGTTTCTCAGGGCGCGCATGAGTGAGGACAAAGTGCGCGGTAAAGGCTCGTGGTGGTTTGTGAGGACAGTACTAGAGGCCCGAAGTAACTACCTCGGGGCCTACGGGGCCGGGGTGTTACAGCTTCCCTTGGTCTGCGACGCGGCCCTTCTTCTTGGAAGCAGCAACCTTCGCCTTCTTTTTTCCGAGGGCCACCCAGATGGGGATCGCGTTCAGCGGCCGAGAGGTGCTGGCCTCACCAGTGCCCCGAGGAGGAGAATAGCAACAGTGACCCTCACGCCCTCTTTCTGCGCCTCTTCCTCAGCTATTTGCCAGGCGAGGGCCAACTCTTCGTCCTCACACTCTTGTTCGAAGCCCTCGGCTTCCGCCTCAGCAACGAGGGCTTTCTTCAACTCCATTGTGACGACAGCGTCTTGTCCTGATGAGGGTTGTTCGCTTGTGGACTCTACGTCCGAGATGACTTCATCCTCCATCGAGGACGCCCCCGAGATGTCCTGGGAATCACTTTGGGAAGACATCTTTGTACTAGTTCGAGGGCTCGGAAACACTAGAGTTTTCTAAAGTTCTAACTCCTAGCCTAAAGGCACAGGGCACAGCTAACTAGGAGGAGAAGAGCAGGGGGGAACTAACCTTAAAAGCTGGGAATCAACCGAAGGCTGGATTTTCTCTCTCTAGAAAATTGGGCAGAGCTTCGCTACAATGATTTCGCACAAGGGGAAGGGAAGCCGGCCATGGGTATTTATAGGCGCTGGGATCCGGGCTTGGGCCAGGAAATCGGGCCTCCGGTTGGACTGCCATCATTACGAACCGTGGTTTCGCCCAATCAGTGACGCCCGCCCACGGACAGCCAACGAGCACACACCACGTGGCAACCCCCCCCCCCCCCAACGGCTATATTCTGACGATAGGTATTCCAACGGCTATATTCTGGGAGCTCCCGGCAACACTTAACAGATCACTCCTTCATCAACCAATAAACACTGGCCCACGGGCTTTTTACTTCACTCCACTTCATCAAGAAGAGCCCCCGGGTACACTTACCCGGAGACACTCCCGGTTTGTGCCCCACACACTACATAACAGATGCCTTCGGGACCACTCCTTCAGAAGCCCAAGGCTTCATATCAGGCCACCCCTCGGGGATCCCCCCTCAGCACTTTGAGGGCCGGGTAGCCCCCGGGGAGTATGCCTCATTGACGGATAGCCTATGGCACACAGGTAATGGGAGCCCCCGGATATCCTCATCACCAACTAATCAACTAACAGGGGACACCCCGGTAACAATTCAACTATTACCCTCATTCATTACGCCCTCGATCCCCAGATTGAGGGACTCCCCTTCGGCACCTCCCAGGGTATCAAAAGCAAGCCTCTGGCTAATCAACACATGAGCCCTCAGAAAAAGGAAAACCTTCGGCATCAGCATTGTACTCCATTTCAAACCAGGGCTTCACGTTTTCGATTCATCATTGGGGGAATTCGGTGTACTCTTTTTCCCTCATTAGGATTTTTTCCCACAGGGTTTTTCCTAATGAGGTTTTTAACGAGGCACCCCCCCCCCCAAAAATGAAACGAAAAGCGTCAGTCTTCGGCCCAAAACAGCAACGCAACTACTCTACTCCTTTTCACCACTTTGCAAGTGCCTCAAGGAGTGGGGGACTGGAGGACCCCCTCGGGAAAAATCACAAAAATCACAAACATGACCCCTCAAGTCCCGACATGTGGGTAACTGAAGGACTGCCCTCGGCAGAATAAACAAACAGCAAACTACCCACAACTCTACAAACTACAAACGGAACAACGGTAGAGGACAAACACAATTACTCCTTTTCCCTCAAATACCTTTCGGCAAAAGGAGTGAGGGACTCCTGATGGAGTATATGGCCCGGGAACCCCCGGCCCACAGACTCCTACTACTGCAATAAAGGCCCAACTGGCCCAGAAAGCACAACAGACCCAAATCACAGCGCCCAGAGTACCAAGCAGCCCACAATATCCACCAGGGGTGCCTTCGGCCCCCTGGCCGAAGGCTCTAATTCTCACAGGAGGGCCAAGACAGAAAAACAAGGTTACTGGAAAAAACGGCGAAAATGAGTAGCCATCGGCAACTGGAGCCCTCGGCACTAAGGAGGTCCCCGGTACTCAGAGCCCTCAGCTAGTCATCTACAGCCGAGGGCACCTTTTCCGACATAATATCCGCTCCACATGCGTATGGATCACCGTACCCTGTACAACGTCCCATCCAACAGCCGCATTAAATGTGGCCACATGCGGTTGCCAGCGCCAACCAGTTGAGATGACCTCTCGGCCAATAGACGCTTGACACGTGTCCCTGCCTGGCATTTATTGCTACTATAAATAGCACCCCATTTCCCCATTTGTAACCAAGTCATAACACGCTGAAAACGTTGAACACTCTCTAATATACTTTCTCTCTCTATACTTACTTGCTCTGACTTATCTCTAGTTATTCCCCGTAATAACCCCTCGGATAAGCTACCCCGAGTACACTATCCATCATTATGTATAAAAAACTATTTGCTCAAATTATATTCTTTTACGGGGTTGAGTGGATCTTACTTATCTCATCCACCGTGGATGGAGTGTCATATTTGACTACTCATCCCATCCACCGTAATGCATTGCCTATTGCTCAAATATGGCTCAAAAAAGGTGACTGCCCATATTTATTATTGCCTCTTTCTTTTTGCTTTTCTACTATACGGAGTAGGTAGTATGTCCCAAAGAAATACTGTATAAAATAAAGAAAGCTTCAGTGCAAATCTGCATCCTTGGCCGTCGATCTATTAAAAGCGGAACAGAGGCTTGTGGTGGATCGATTGAAATCAGATCCAGGTTCATCCATCTTCAGGTCTCCCATGTTTGGGTTTCAAACATCAACCGTAAGAAAGATTATTTGCATTTATGATACTCCCTAATAAAAAAAAAATGAATGTTATATCTGCTATATATCTCTTACAAAGTGGAGGATCTCGGCTGGTGATGCCACCGCCAAGAGCGGTACCGACGGAGGAGGCAGCAAAGACTGTTAAGGACCTTACGATACTTGTGAAGAAGCCGCTGAGCTGGTGATTTTGAATGACAGCAGCGGAAACAACCGCCAAGTGAGCAGTAAGAGGCCGGGCGACGGACCGAGTGAAAGAGCCACGGTCTCAGGAGAAAGGGTTTTCTGGGATACTCAATCATATGGTGATGTTAATTAATCAAAGGAGAAAGGTACTTCGGATAGCCAATTGCCTCATATATTTCATTAAATAAATTGCTCCATATCACCTATTTCAACCTGAATCGGCCGGCAATCCAAGCCGCAGAACCTCTTCACGGCAGCTAGCAGGAATTTCACACGCGCTTCCGGATTTCAGGTGGCCATATGGCTTGGGCGAGGCAGAGCATCGGACGAAGAAATGGTTTCTTCGAGGTTTGTGAAGAAGATGGGGGAGTTCGTCGGCCTTGCATCAAAGTTAGTCTCTGTTTTCTCAATCTTCTCCATCGTTTTTTCTATTCTGAGATTGTTGATTAATAAATCCTTTGCTCTTTTGGTTCATTTCTTTGCATCAATTTTCACTTCACAAATATC